GACGCAGGTCAATTCTTGAGGAACTCTTGGTTCATCGTTTCAAACCTATGAAAATATGTTGTTACGAAATATAGTTTTTGTTTTGAAAAAGATCAGTAGTCCACAAGGAGAGGGAGGGGAGAGGTTGGCGATAACCAAGAATTCAGATCTACGATGACCGAAAATACAGAACGGTTGGAAGTTGGATTGCTGCTCTTTCTATTGTCTCAGTGTTGCTGAGAAGGACCCCATTTTCAATAAATTTCAAGTCTTCTCACCATTTTTTTCATTATAAAAACTGAAATTTTTATTCTAGACTGAAAACACCACTTCAGATACCAAGCTCTATCCAATTTCTTATTTCTTACCTGTTTGTATATCCATCGCAATTACACGAATCGGCATCCTTTCCTCCATTGCCGGAAGCCCAAACAAAAACAGATCCTTTGCCTCGACGTCCCTCTCGGATTCCTCTTTCAAAAGCAGCTCGGGTGAGCTTTGCTGGCCCATCCACGGTGCGACCATCGTCATCTGGGCCCCAAGAGGCGCTAGAGAGAATGAGGTAGGGATATTTGCTGTCAGGATGGTTGTAATGATAATTCTTACCTATATATGTCTACATAATCCGAGTTATGGCCTAAAGATGCCGCCTCTACAGCATCTGTCACATCACCATCGAGCATTCGGATGCCTAAGGATAAATAGGTAGTTCTGAGGTATATATCAATTGGGTAATCCAAACCTACCTCCAATTCTGGCATTGTAGGCGATTCCTACGATACACAAGCTGTTATTGAAGATGGCCGCGACTTCGCCAGCACATCTGGTACCATGTCTATTCTCATCCGAATACTCATATCGTGGCATAGGATCATCGTCGCGATCGTTGACATCGTAAGAAGCGCGTGCATCCTGAAAGCTCTCTTCAGGACCCGCATGAACAAGTTGTTCGACTAGATATTTACATAGTTGGGCGCTATATCCGGATGTGTTCGTTCTAGGCCATCATCGAGGATTGTCACGACTACACCGCGACCTGTATAGC